GGACTAAACTTCCCGTTCGAAGAGCGCTGTCTCAGAATCATGGTTAACGTCAAAATTCCTCGATAATGAAATCCCGTTGACGGGTTTTTTTATCCAGTAGTGCCATGGATTAAAACGTAGAGGAAGCAAGGTGACCCTGTACACGAAAAGTATCTTAACAATACGAGAAATTTAGATGTTGTCACATGATTCATGGCCATGTGAACTGTTGCTCTGCAAGCTGACATGTAGATGGCAAGATATTGAATTAGTTGTAGTATATCGTAGTCCAGAATGTGTAGTAGATGACTTTCTCCTAAGCAAGCTTAATTCCTGGTGTAATTAGGGTAGAAGGATTATAGTAGGCGACTTTCATGCGCCGTATATAAACTGAGTAATTTTAGAAGTAGGGTCATTGATATCGTCATTCGATTGCAAACTGTTAGAAGCTTCGATTGCATTAGCTTTATTCCAACACACTGGAGATCCAATCGGAAATGACTTGCGATGCTTCTCGTCTCTCTTGGATTTAGTTTTCACACACTTTGATGATGTCGGTCAAATGAACCTCCTCCACCGCTAGGGAGAATCGATCATGCAGTTATATTATTCAAATTCATGGCTGAGGTTGCCTGTCGAACAGTTGCCTCAGCCCGTCCTAATATGGAGGCCATCAACTAAGCAGCATCGGCTGAAAGCCGAAAAATTAACTCAAGACATCAATATAAGAGGCATGGATTCATTTCAGACAGCTATACAAACGGGTAACTTAACCACTTATACCCTGGACAGTTCCGAAGAAGTAGAGGAAGTACGACCGTCCCTGGATAGTCTGGGATATCCGACACTTACTAAGACAAAAAGAGAAATGTTGGAACTTTGCCATCAGCCTTGACACAGCAAGTACCTTGGAACGCTACAGGACGGTAAGAAATGAGTGTATAATTAAAATCCGGGAAGCTCAGAAAAAATATGAGATGCAGTTAGCCCAATCTGCAATTAAGCTGCCTAAGAGATTATTTTAGTATAAAAATTGCAGAACAAGGATGCATCGAGAGACCGTTTGGTGGAATGATAACGTTAAATATTAGAGAAACTAGATTTGAACCATCTGTACCCAGTAACAAAGAAAATATAATTATCACCTAATGAACACAAAATATATTCAGAGTGCACTAATTGGAGTGTTGTGCTGATAAGTTAAATCTCTTGTCATGGAAAAGACTTCAACGAGTGTATACTACACTAAATTACGATATTGAAAATAGGAACTTATCTCCAAGACAACACTCAACATGGTACGTTTTTAAAACATAACGTTTCTAAGTGTTTCTATCCGTTGCTTTTTAACAAATAATATTGAGACGTTTTAGAATAGATAAAGTAAGCTCTGTATGTACGTTAGGAACAAGATTTACGCTTCTCGAAGTTTGATCGTTATTTGAGTGCATCATTCGCAGTACGAACCACTCCATGCATTACTTTCTTGTCTCAAAGCAATGTTAATTCTATATGTTCTTTTGAGTTGGGATAAAATATTGAAAGTTAAGAGGCAATATTAGCTTTAAGGTATGCTACATGCTCTTAAGAAGTCAAACTCATGTAAATTCATCCTATATTTTAAGAAGCCAGATTAAATTAGTAAGTATTGACTAAAAGCACTGAAACAAAAAGATATGACCAGAAAAGCATGTATCTTATTTGATTCTGTTCATTGTTATTATTTTTAAGAAATATGAACCGTTTATTATCAAGCAGGATTAAAATAAGCAAATAAATTATTGATCAAAATTAAAGATGGATAAAGTTCACCATTGAAAGAGATGCATAACCTTTAAGAACATTAGAATGAGACTTTTGGGGAAAAGTCTAGATGGCTATTTCAGGGTTGATCACTGAAAAAATTTTGACTACGAAAGCTTCTCTGAGTTTGTAATCGCCCTTAATATCTGTTCAAGACAATTGTAAATTACTTTCAGCCACATAGTTTGATTGGTATTCATAGTGAAAGTGCGTTCATATCCGTAATTAAATTTAGTCATGGTATTCTATGACCATTAAAACGAGACAAAAAATTAGACTAAAGCTGTTTAGTCTGTCGATAAATATCAGTAATATATATCCAATTCGAGTCAACAAAGACTATCACGTCTTATTTTTTGTGTTTCAGACGTTCAGTCTGTTCAAATCAAGTTTTTCTCCTATATTTACCAATTGACACTTAGTTCAAGATTTTCTACTGTTAGTCTGACCTTTTATTTTCAAGTGATGGATTTAACCATTAGATTTAATCATTGATAAATTGCATGAACTGTTCTTTAAAGATATGGTGTATGGAATAGGTTGGTTATTTTTGATAGTCCAATGGTACGGCTTTTAGCTAACTTTATTTGCCATATACTGAAAATTTGGTCAATGAATATATAGAGATTATATATTATTCACACACAACAAAAGCGTCAGTATACTCTATTTCTATCCCACACTTTGTATATATTGCACCCAAATAATTTATAAGGACTTTGTCAATCTATCTAATCTTAATAACTGTCCAACACTGTGTTTAAAATTCATTTAGAGAACCGGTTGTCAATAGACATTGATCCCTATAATCTCTTTGCTTAAACATGTTTTTAAAGAATTTCATAATGGAATACAGCTCCAGATGGAATAAGGCAGCAAATAAAACATTTTTTATGTTGAGATCTGGATGCTGTGAATGGTGTAGATACTGTGTGTTCAACATAAACTGTAAGGTTATAGTTCACTCAATACGTCATTTTTTGGTTTTTTGGAGTTTTATTATATCCGAACCTATGCAGCATATTTTCTTATACCTGCTATTTATGAATATGTAGTAAAAAAGAAATAACTGAGAGTTTGGAAGAGTTAAAAACCAATGATTTTGCTCTTAAGTAAATTAAAGGAGTTATAATCTACTGAGTAACGCTGATATTTAGTAGTAAGAAATTTAGACCTGTACTGACTACCGTGCTTCGTTGTTTATATTCTAATACTTTTTCAGTCACTTTTTAAGCCAATTTTACGCGATTTATCTCTGATTCTATATTGTGACTAACATTGAATGTTTAATAGAGTTATTATTTCTCAAATGAGGACGTATAACACTCTTGTTAATTCTTCGCACACAATTTAAACTTAACACGAAGTACATTTGTCTAAAATAAATAGAAATAGAACTCAATATTACCTATCTTTTGTTGCAATATGCGATATCCGAGACTTGAGACTGATGTGAAAATTTTCTATAAACAAACTTGACCACTTGAGATTACGTAGGACGAATGGGAAGAAATTTATTTCATTAACCGGATCAAGAGACTGTGCACCCCTTAGAATATTAGGCCGCCCAGTGGTTCACGTTTTTAATCTTATGCCGTAAGTTCATTTCTTTCCCAGTCAGGTAAATATGTTATTTTTAAGATGTCCAATTATCAGAATGTATTATTTTTACAAAGGTTTAAAGTAAAAGCTAAGTCTGGTTTAAATGCTTCGCAAAATCTATTCAGTTTGTTACATTCGCCATTATAATTGGAATAATTGTATGTTAACCCGTCTTTAAAATTCACAAGGGTTGCTTTTATAACTTCGCCACCAGGTTACCATAGCCTACTTTGTGTGTGCATAGGGTGTTCTTAACCATAGGTTTTCTTACTGTAGGGTTATTTATCGTACTTGGTATTTTGGAGTTTCTATGTCAGCATTTATTAGTGGGAGGCTGAGTCTTTTCATTCTATTAGTTAACTTCTACATTCAGATGACAACTTATTCCTTACCTTTATTCTAGTTTTAAAGAGCCGTTTTGACAGATATATAGTAAATTTTGCATTTAAATGTTTAGCTTAATGTTTTGAGTATATATACACATATACGAGCAGTTAAGATTTATTCAAATTTAAGGAGAACTTTGTTAACCCTATTTGGCTAGTTTAATATATGTGATTCAGTGATTGAATGATAATGAAACATTCTGTGATTAGTTTACATCATAGATCCAACTCATTTGCACTTTAAGATCATAGATGTTTCCAAAAATTCAAGATAATGATATTTCTGGTAGGTTAGTGAAGAAAAACTGAGAGTAATAAGTATAAGAAATATATCACTCATAATATCTGAAACTTCAGTTTGTACCTTTAACTGTTTTGCAGTCTTATACTTTACAGCAGACATTTTACTCTGCGAAGAAAAGACAATATCTAGTACCGCCATGTCAAAATGATATTTTTATTCACTGTATGTCAGCAAACCAAGGTCAGTGGTTTTTTTGTGTACCGGTCAAATAGAATTGGAACAAGCGACCTGATGATTGAATTAAAGAGTTAGGGGCAAATTTATTGTTAATAAGTAATCGTTTATAGATTGTGTATTTTCCAGTTATCCTGACGTGATTCACCGATACACTAAATTAAAGTATATAGAGACCCACGTTTCCAGTTTATTTTACTATTAACAGCATTTTGATTGATTCTAATGACACGAGTTTTAACAGGCTTGTTTGGTAGAAGGTAAGTTTCTTTAGTCTCAATCTGGATCGAGACAAAAAAGTTCTTCCTCTAATATATATTACACCAAGAGACAACATCACGGCAGTATGCACAAGGTCCACATGTCATTTGATTACTAAAATCACAAATAACAAAACTTCTTAATAGTTTCATTTGTTGTAACCGCTCAATTATCACTATTTCTCAAACATTTGCTGTGAATCGATCGTATGTGAACGTCAGTTGCTGAAATTGGTGCTGTGATCTTGAAATCCTTGCAACGCTTCTGATTGACCCGCCCATAAAACATAGTCTTGCCGGCACCAATCGTAGCTCGAGACTTCTTTATAACCTATTTGTCGTGCATAGGTTTTTTGATAAACTAAAATGTTTTTATCTTTACTTTATAGATATACTTTTGGCAAAACTGCAAACCATTCATTGATTAGATTGTTATAATTCTTTACCGCCAGTGTAATAAATTTACTCCTATCTTCTGACTGATAATTAAATATGAGTGTGAAAGTGGACATTCAATCTTCTAATTTCTGTCGCATTAATGATGAAAGTGATCAACATGAACAACTTATACCAGAAGATACAAATTCAACTGTGTACAGTATGTTTAAAACTTTTTATTGTTTTATTATAGTATTCTCAGACATACGTCTTCCGATAAAAGAATGATCAATCACAGTCCTAAACACCAGTGGAAAGATTCAAACAAACAATGCTAATTGAATTTAAACTTCACCCCATTGCACAAACAAGTGGCTATCAGAACTCAGTAGCCAAGTGAATATGACGATGGCGTTTGAAACGAAATGTACTGAGTTTGAGTCTTAGAGTTCTAGTGAGAAACAATGACCAGCAGAATTCAACCGAGTTTGTTGTGAGATAGTAACTCACTCATGACAATGGTACATGGTGGCACAATTTTGTGGATTGGTTGAAATCAAACATTTACACCGTTAAATACCGGCCAGCTCACTGGTCTATACATAAATTTTGCTATATAAATATTTATTTAAACACATAAATATTAGTACAAGGGGCACCAAACAGATATGCGCCACATAAATCATTCGATTTATGTTAGGGCTGGGATACCGCCCGGATGCCCAAACCGAACCAGATGGCTTGTTTAGGAAGCCACACCTGGAGCCTTTGATCTAAAGATCTAATCCACAAGGCAGTGAAGCAATGTCAGGAGATGCAGTCACATGGTAGCCGGTGACCAACAATTGGTTCATATGTCATTTGTTCCTTTAGGATCCTTGAGACCATGTACACCATTGGTTTGAAATGAGGGTTTTCCAACTCTCCTAGGTGGACTCTCCATGTCCACCAACCCGGTTTAAGCTCCAGACACTTGATTTTTATCATCTCAATTTTGTAAACAACACCCTCGCCATGAGAAGGTAGTAGGTAGGACTTCCCTGTCAGTGGTTGTATGCATGTGGCCATGTGAAAGCATTTTGAGAGGAAGATTTGACTCTTATTCTGAAATTAATGTGTTCTATTCTTTTATAGACGAACAACCAAATGTCAAGTTAGATGATAATGAAAAACTAGCAAATGATTCAAATGATAATTTACATGAAGTTCTAGATGATTTAAACAAATTCAATGATGAATTAAAGAAACCATTCAATGATTCATTCTCTACTGATTTATCTAATTTACCATATCCTCCTGGTTATTCTATTATAAAACAAAATGATTCAATGATAAATTGTGAAAATCAATATAAGGAGTTAAATGAAATTGAACAGGAAAATTCAAAGGAACCAAGGTATCTGTATATTGTTTAGTGTGATGTAATCAATCAAGTTATCGACTGGTTATATGCAATTAGTTCCCTTTATGAGTTTAAATAAAATCAGAACGAGCATGGGTACAGAATAATATGAATTCATTATATTTCATTAGGTTCTCATTAGCTGCTTACATAACTGGTTCGATTTGAGCAGCCGGGCAATATCCAAGCTTTCATATAAATCGAATGATTTATGTGGAGCATATCTGTTTGGTGCCTCCTTGTACCAATCTTTATGTGTTTAAGTCATGATTCAATTGAAGCTAGACCACTATGGAAAACCTGGAAACACTGGACGACTGTTTCGTCCTAGTATGGGACTCCTCAGCAGTGCGCATCCACGACCCCTTCCCCCCGCGAGATTCGAACCCAGTCTCGTGGGCGAGCGCTTAGCTAATAGACCACTGAGCCGGCATTCAGCGGTGTTAATGTCTAACTTCAACCAATCCACGAAATTGCGCCACCGTACACCATTGTCTGCTGTGAGTTACTATCTCACAACAGACGTGGTTGAACTCCACCGGTCACGGCTTCTCACTAGAACTCCAGGAGACGGCTCTTGAAGTCAGTCACTAGTGAGCATATATTGCTTTATATCAGAAGAGGTTTTGTGGAGATTCAATGGATCCATTATTTCAACTATTGAAATTACTAAAATCTCCATAAAACCGCCTTCTGAAACTAAATAGTTGCTTACAACGAAATATGTATTAGAATTTTACATTGAGGTAAGATATAGTGTGGAACAATTGACATAAGCGAATGTAAAGATTTTGAATGACGAAAGTTATAATATATATGCAAGAACATGTCAGAGGTTATTTGGTATTAGGATCAAAGAAACATTAGTGATGGGTGATGTAGTCGTTGAGTGAAGTTCAGAGATAGATAAAATAAATTATGTGATAATTTTAAAGGCATTTACCAAGGTACATATACTTACCAAAGCACATACATTGGAAGAACCAAGAGAAGAGTATATGTTCGCATTTCTGAGCATATTTCAAAAAAATTGAGACTACAAGGGACAAAGGCTTTCAACGGTGCAATAGCTCGACATTTACTTGACACCAAGTATATCATTGACATTTCCCATGCTTTTAAAATTATTATCAGATGAAGAAATACTGCTTCTCTCCGTTTTGCTGAAGTGATCACGACAAAAAAGAACTCAAACCGGATCTATGTATTCAATAAGAGACAGTAATAAACCTATTACCACCCTGGTTATTCCATTTTTTTTTACCATTAGTTGTATATTGTTAATGTTTTGGTTTGCTAATATTCCTCTCCCATTACCGAATTCTCAAACCACCCTTTGTAATGAATTGTACTATTTACTCAGAAGACATAGCCATCTCTCATGTTCAATTCTTTTCTAAAATGTTAAATCTGAGACAAGAAAACAGTGTAAATTAATGAAGGGTTAACTGAAGAGCGTGGTTTCAGATGTCTTAGAGGGATTGTTTGGACAATGAGAGTGGATATTGAATAAGCGTACCACATATAATGAGGGATAAGACTGACTATGTAATTGAGATAGATTGTATGTAAGGGGAATTTTGGATTGTTTAGATAGTTATAGAAAACTGCAAGGGAGATGTTACAGTCTTATGTTCTGAGCCTAATCTGACAAAGTCTCAATCTATCGAGCTCCATGATTCCTATAGATTCAACCAGGGAGTCGCCATAGATCGGTATCCGCCTTTAATATCAACGTGGCACGTAATAAACTAATATCCTTTCTGCTATCTATACTAAATGTCAGTATCACTAAATAATGCAGAGTAATAAATTCACAGCCACAAAACATATGGCCACCCCTAGCTTTCTTCCAACCTACTCCTACATCATAAAACATTGCTCGTCGGAGAAGTCGGTGGTTGGGCATAGGTAACACGTGTCGCAGCCATCTCAACTGATGAACTATTACTACTTCATCAATTAATTTGCCATCCTTACCTAGTACCCGTTTCCTAACAACTACATTACTTACTCGGTGGTCGCAGGATATACGAGCAATGCTTCGAAGACAACTATGATCGAATAATAGTAACCTAGGAATATCCTCTACTCTTACCGACCATGTTTCACCGCCATAAAGTAGGACGGAACAAACTGTTGCACAGTAAACACGTCCTTTGGTTGATAGACGGATATCTCGCCTACGCCATAAATGACGCAAGTTGGCAAAAGCTAGTCTAGCCTTTTGTATCCGTGTTGAGATTTCGTGGTAGTCGGTGACGAACAGTTGGTTCATACGTCATTTGTTCCTTCAGGATCCCGAAGACCATGTACACCATTGGTTTAGAATGAGGGTTTTCGAACTCCCCTAGGTGAATCCTCCGTACTCACCAACTCCATTAGATCGCCGGACACTCGCTTATCGTCCTGTCAATCTTGTAAACAACAGTAATGCCACAAAAAGTCAGTGGCCAGGACTTCCTTGACAGTTTTAATAACCTTAGATATTTATGTACCTTTATAGGAATTTATATACGTAAGTCAGTCTATTCGACGTACTATTTCATAGATCTTTCATCTTAAGAACAATCAAACTATAAAATTGATTCTTTTCTGTTACATTTTAGAATGACAAAAAAATTTTTGAAACAACATTGTGCAAAGAATAAACTGTATCAAACACCACAATTGAACGATATACTCTATCTACATTATAATGGTAAATTATGTGTATGTTAATAATCTATCTATGAGTAAACCATACTGATATTCTATTATTATTATTATTATTACTGTTAGTAGTAGTAGTAGTAGTAGTAGTAGTAGTAGTAGTAGTAGTAGTAGTAGTAGTAGTAGTAGTAGTAGTAGTAGTAGTAGTAGTAGTAGTAGTAGTAGTAGTAGTAGTAGTAGTAGTAGTAGTAGTAGTAGTAGTAGTAGTAGTAGTAGTAGTAGTAGTAGTAGTAGTAGTAGTAGTAGTAGTAGTAGTAGTAGTAGTAGTAGTAGTAGTAGTAGTAGTAGTAGTAGTAGTAGTAGTAGTAGTAGTAGTAGTAGTAGTAGTAGTAGTAGTAGTAGTAGTAGTAGTAGTAGTAGTAGTAGTAGTAGTAGTAGTAGTAGTAGTAGTAGTAGTAGTAGTAGTAGTAGTAGTAGTAGTAGTAGTAGTAGTAGTAGTAGTAGTAGTAGTAGTAGTAGTAGTAGTAGTAGTAGTAGTAGTAGTAGTAGTAGTAGTAGTAGTAGTAGTAGTAGTAGTAGTAGTAGTAGTAGTAGTAGTAGTAGTAGTAGTAGTAGTAGTAGTAGTAGTAGTAGTAGTAGTAGTAGTAGTAGTAGTAGTAGTAGTAGTAGTAGTAGTAGTAGTAGTAGTAGTAGTAGTAGTAGTAGTAGTAGTAGTAGTAGTAGTAGTAGTAGTAGTAGTAGTAGTAGTAGTAGTAGTAGTAGTAGTAGTAGTAGTAGTAGTAGTAGTAGTAGTAGTAGTAGTAGTAGTAGTAGTAGTAGTAGTAGTAGTAGTAGTAGTAGTAGTAGTAGTAGTAGTAGTAGTAGTAGTAGTAGTAGTAGTAGTAGTAGTAGTAGTAGTAGTAGTAGTAGTAGTAGTAGTAGTAGTAGTAGTAGTAGTAGTAGTAGTAGTAGTAGTAGTAGTAGTAGTAGTAGTAGTAGTAGTAGTAGTAGTAGTAGTAGTAGTAGTAGTAGTAGTAGTAGTAGTAGTAGTAGTAGTAGTAGTAGTAGTAGTAGTAGTAGTAGTAGTAGTAGTAGTAGTAGTAGTAGTAGTAGTAGTAGTAGTAGTAGTAGTAGTAGTAGTAGTAGTAGTAGTAGTAGTAGTAGTAGTAGTAGTAGTAGTAGTAGTAGTAGTAGTAGTAGTAGTAGTAGTAGTAGTAGTAGTAGTAGTAGTAGTAGTAGTAGTAGTAGTAGTAGTAGTAGTAGTAGTAGTAGTAGTAGTAGTAGTAGTAGTAGTAGTAGTAGTAGTAGTAGTAGTAGTAGTAGTAGTAGTAGTAGTAGTAGTAGTAGTAGTAGTAGTAGTAGTAGTAGTAGTAGTAGTAGTAGTAGTAGTAGTAGTAGTAGTAGTAGTAGTAGTAGTAGTAGTAGTAGTAGTAGTAGTAGTAGTAGTAGTAGTAGTAGTAGTAGTAGTAGTAGTAGTAGTAGTAGTAGTAGTAGTAGTAGTAGTAGTAGTAGTAGTAGTAGTAGTAGTAGTAGTAGTAGTAGTAGTAGTAGTAGTAGTAGTAGTAGTAGTAGTAGTAGTAGTAGTAGTAGTAGTAGTAGTAGTAGTAGTAGTAGTAGTAGTAGTAGTAGTAGTAGTAGTAGTAGTAGTAGTAGTAGTAGTAGTAGTAGTAGTAGTAGTAGTAGTAGTAGTAGTAGTAGTAGTAGTAGTAGTAGTAGTAGTAGTAGTAGTAGTAGTAGTAGTAGTAGTAGTAGTAGTAGTAGTAGTAGTAGTAGTAGTAGTAGTAGTAGTAGTAGTAGTAGTAGTATAGTAGTAGTAGTAGTAGTAGTAGTAGTAGTAGTAGTAGTAGTAGTAGTAGTAGTAGTAGTAGTAGTAGTAGTAGTAGTAGTAGTAGTAGTAGTAGTAGTAGTAGTAGTAGTAGTAGTAGTAGTAGTAGTAGTAGTAGTAGTAGTAGTAGTAGTAGTAGTAGTAGTAGTAGTAGTAGTAGTAGTAGTAGTAGTAGTAGTAGTAGTAGTAGTAGTAGTAGTAGTAGTAGTAGTAGTAGTAGTAGTAGTAGTAGTAGTAGTAGTAGTAGTAGTAGTAGTAGTAGTAGTAGTAGTAGTAGTAGTAGTAGTAGTAGTAGTAGTAGTAGTAGTAGTAGTAGTAGTAGTAGTAGTAGTAGTAGTAGTAGTAGTAGTAGTAGTAGTAGTAGTAGTAGTAGTAGTAGTAGTAGTAGTAGTAGTAGTAGTAGTAGTAGTAGTAGTAGTAGTAGTAGTAGTAGTAGTAGTAGTAGTAGTAGTAGTAGTAGTAGTAGTAGTAGTAGTAGTAGTAGTAGTAGTAGTAGTAGTAGTAGTAGTAGTAGTAGTAGTAGTAGTAGTAGTAGTAGTAGTAGTAGTAGTAGTAGTAGTAGTAGTAGTAGTAGTAGTAGTAGTAGTAGTAGTACTAGTAGTAGTAGTAGTAGTAGTAGTAGTAGTAGTAGTAGTAGTAGTAGTAGTAGTAGTAGTAGTAGTAGTAGTAGTAGTAGTAGTAGTAGTAGTAGTAGTAGTAGTAGTAGTAGTAGTAGTAGTAGTAGTAGTAGTAGTAGTAGTAGTAGTAGTAGTAGTAGTAGTAGTAGTAGTAGTAGTAGTAGTAGTAGTAGTAGTAGTAGTAGTAGTAGTAGTAGTAGTAGTAGTAGTAGTAGTAGTAGTAGTAGTAGTAGTAGTAGTAGTAGTAGTAGTAGTAGTAGTAGTAGTAGTAGTAGTAGTAGTAGTAGTAGTAGTAGTAGTAGTAGTAGTAGTAGTAGTAGTAGTAGTAGTAGTAGTAGTAGTAGTAGTAGTAGTAGTAGTAGTAGTAGTAGTAGTAGTAGTAGTAGTAGTAGTAGTAGTAGTAGTAGTAGTAGTAGTAGTAGTAGTAGTAGTAGTAGTAGTAGTAGTAGTAGTAGTAGTAGTAGTAGTAGTAGTAGTAGTAGTAGTAGTAGTAGTAGTAGTAGTAGTAGTAGTAGTAGTAGTAGTAGTAGTAGTAGTAGTAGTAGTAGTAGTAGTAGTAGTAGTAGTAGTAGTAGTAGTAGTAGTAGTAGTAGTAGTAGTAGTAGTAGTAGTAGTAGTAGTAGTAGTAGTAGTAGTAGTAGTAGTAGTAGTAGTAGTAGTAGTAGTAGTAGTAGTAGTAGTAGTAGTAGTAGTAGTAGTAGTAGTAGTAGTAGTAGTAGTAGTAGTAGTAGTAGTAGTAGTAGTAGTAGTAGTAGTAGTAGTAGTAGTAGTAGTAGTAGTAGTAGTAGTAGTAGTAGTAGTAGTAGTAGTAGTAGTAGTAGTAGTAGTAGTAGTAGTAGTAGTAGTAGTAGTAGTAGTAGTAGTAGTAGTAGTAGTAGTAGTAGTAGTAGTAGTAGTAGTAGTAGTAGTAGTAGTAGTAGTAGTAGTAGTAGTAGTAGTAGTAGTAGTAGTAGTAGTAGTAGTAGTAGTAGTAGTAGTAGTAGTAGTAGTAGTAGTAGTAGTAGTAGTAGTAGTAGTAGTAGTAGTAGTAGTAGTAGTAGTAGTAGTAGTAGTAGTAGTAGTAGTAGTAGTAGTAGTAGTAGTAGTAGTAGTAGTAGTAGTAGTAGTAGTAGTAGTAGTAGTAGTAGTAGTAGTAGTAGTAGTAGTAGTAGTAGTAGTAGTAGTAGTAGTAGTAGTAGTAGTAGTAGTAGTAGTAGTAGTAGTAGTAGTAGTAGTAGTAGTAGTAGTAGTAGTAGTAGTAGTAGTAGTAGTAGTAGTAGTAGTAGTAGTAGTAGTAGTAGTAGTAGTAGTAGTAGTAGTAGTAGTAGTAGTAGTAGTAGTAGTAGTAGTAGTAGTAGTAGTAGTAGTAGTAGTAGTAGTAGTAGTAGTAGTAGTAGTAGTAGTAGTAGTAGTAGTAGTAGTAGTAGTAGTAGTAGTAGTAGTAGTAGTAGTAGTAGTAGTAGTAGTAGTAGTAGTAGTAGTAGTAGTAGTAGTAGTAGTAGTAGTAGTAGTAGTAGTAGTAGTAGTAGTAGTAGTAGTAGTAGTAGTAGTAGTAGTAGTAGTAGTAGTAGTAGTAGTAGTAGTAGTAGTAGTAGTAGTAGTAGTAGTAGTAGTAGTAGTAGTAGTAGTAGTAGTAGTAGTAGTAGTAGTAGTAGTAGTAGTAGTAGTAGTAGTAGTAGTAGTAGTAGTAGTAGTAGTAGTAGTAGTAGTAGTAGTAGTAGTAGTAGTAGTAGTAGTAGTAGTAGTAGTAGTAGTAGTAGTAGTAGTAGTAGTAGTAGTAGTAGTAGTAGTAGTAGTAGTAGTAGTAGTAGTAGTAGTAGTAGTAGTAGTAGTAGTAGTAGTAGTAGTAGTAGTAGTAGTAGTAGTAGTAGTAGTAGTAGTAGTAGTAGTAGTAGTAGTAGTAGTAGTAGTAGTAGTAGTAGTAGTAGTAGTAGTAGTAGTAGTAGTAGTAGTAGTAGTAGTAGTAGTAGTAGTAGTAGTAGTAGTAGTAGTAGTAGTAGTAGTAGTAGTAGTAGTAGTAGTAGTAGTAGTAGTAGTAGTAGTAGTAGTAGTAGTAGTAGTAGTAGTAGTAGTAGTAGTAGTAGTAGTAGTAGTAGTAGTAGTAGTAGTAGTAGTAGTAGTAGTAGTAGTAGTAGTAGTAGTAGTAGTAGTAGTAGTAGTAGTAGTAGTAGTAGTAGTAGTAGTAGTAGTAGTAGTAGTAGTAGTAGTAGTAGTAGTAGTAGTAGTAGTAGTAGTAGTAGTAGTAGTAGTAGTAGTAGTAGTAGTAGTAGTAGTAGTAGTAGTAGTAGTAGTAGTAGTAGTAGTAGTAGTAGTAGTAGTAGTAGTAGTAGTAGTAGTAGTAGTAGTAGTAGTAGTAGTAGTAGTAGTAGTAGTAGTAGTAGTAGTAGTAGTAGTAGTAGTAGTAGTAGTAGTAGTAGTAGTAGTAGTAGTAGTAGTAGTAGTAGTAGTAGTAGTAGTAGTAGTAGTAGTAGTAGTAGTAGTAGTAGTAGTAGTAGTAGTAGTAGTAGTAGTAGTAGTAGTAGTAGTAGTAGTAGTAGTAGTAGTAGTAGTAGTAGTAGTAGTAGTAGTAGTAGTAGTAGTAGTAGTAGTAGTAGTAGTAGTAGTAGTAGTAGTAGTAGTAGTAGTAGTAGTAGTAGTAGTAGTAGTAGTAGTAGTAGTAGTAGTAGTAGTAGTAGTAGTAGTAGTAGTAGTAGTAGTAGTAGTAGTAGTAGTAGTAGTAGTAGTAGTAGTAGTAGTAGTAGTAGTAGTAGTAGTAGTAGTAGTAGTAGTAGTAGTAGTAGTAGTAGTAGTAGTAGTAGTAGTAGTAGTAGTAGTAGTAGTAGTAGTAGTAGTAGTAGTAGTAGTAGTAGTAGTAGTAGTAGTAGTAGTAGTAGTAGTAGTAGTAGTAGTAGTAGTAGTAGTAGTAGTAGTAGTAGTAGTAGTAGTAGTAGTAGTAGTAGTAGTAGTAGTAGTAGTAGTAGTAGTAGTAGTAGTAGTAGTAGTAGTAGTAGTAGTAGTAGTAGTAGTAGTAGTAGTAGTAGTAGTAGTAGTAGTAGTAGTAGTAGTAGTAGTAGTAGTAGTAGTAGTAGTAGTAGTAGTAGTAGTAGTAGTAGTAGTAGTAGTAGTAGTAGTAGTAGTAGTAGTAGTAGTAGTAGTAGTAGTAGTAGTAGTAGTAGTAGTAGTAGTAGTAGTAGTAGTAGTAGTAGTAGTAGTAGTAGTAGTAGTAGTAGTAGTAGTAGTAGTAGTAGTAGTAGTAGTAGTAGTAGTAGTAGTAGTAGTAGTAGTAGTAGTAGTAGTAGTAGTAGTAGTAGTAGTAGTAGTAGTAGTAGTAGTAGTAGTAGTAGTAGTAGTAGTAGTAGTAGTAGTAGTAGTAGTAGTAGTAGTAGTAGTAGTAGTAGTAGTAGTAGTAGTAGTAGTAGTAGTAGTAGTAGTAGTAGTAGTAGTAGTAGTAGTAGTAGTAGTAGTAGTAGTAGTAGTAGTAGTAGTAGTAGTAGTAGTAGTAGTAGTAGTAGTAGTAGTAGTAGTAGTAGTAGTAGTAGTAGTGTAGTAGTAGTAGTAGTAGTAGTAGTAGTAGTAGTAGTAGTAGTAGTAGTAGTAGTAGTAGTAGTAGTAGTAGTAGTAGTAGTAGTAGTAGTAGTAGTAGTAGTAGTAGTAGTAGTAGTAGTAGTAGTAGTAGTAGTAGTAGTAGTAGTAGTAGTAGTAGTAGTAGTAGTAGTAGTAGTAGTAGTAGTAGTAGTAGTAGTAGTAGTAGTAGTAGTAGTAGTAGTAGTAGTAGTAGTAGTAGTAGTAGTAGTAGTAGTAGTAGTAGTAGTAGTAGTAGTAGTAGTAGTAGTAGTAGTAGTAGTAGTAGTAGTAGTAGTAGTAGTAGTAGTAGTAGTAGTAGTAGTAGTAGTAGTAGTAGTAGTAGTAGTAGTAGTAGTAGTAGTAGTAGTAGTAGTAGTAGTAGTAGTAGTAGTAGTAGTAGTAGTAGTAGTAGTAGTAGTAGTAGTAGTAGTAGTAGTAGTAGTAGTAGTAGTAGTAGTAGTAGTAGTAGTAGTAGTAGTAGTAGTAGTAGTAGTAGTAGTAGTAGTAGTAGTAGTAGTAGTAGTAGTAGTAGTAGTAGTAGTAGTAGTAGTAGTAGTAGTAGTAGTAGTAGTAGTAGTAGTAGTAGTAGTAGTAGTAGTAGTAGTAGTAGTAGTAGTAGTAGTAGTAGTAGTAGTAGTAGTAGTAGTAGTAGTAGTAGTAGTAGTAGTAGTAGTAGTAGTAGTAGTAGTAGTAGTAGTAGTAGTAGTAGTAGTAGTAGTAGTAGTAGTAGTAGTAGTAGTAGTAGTAGTAGTAGTAGTAGTAGTAGTAGTAGTAGTAGTAGTAGTAGTAGTAGTAGTAGTAGTAGTAGTAGTAGTAGTAGTAGTAGTAGTAGTAGTAGTAGTAGTAGTAGTAGTAGTAGTAGTAGTAGTAGTAGTAGTAGTAGTAGTAGTAGTAGTAGTAGTAGTAGTAGTAGTAGTAGTAGTAGTAGTAGTAGTAGTAGTAGTAGTAGTAGTAGTAGTAGTAGTAGTAGTAGTAGTAGTAGTAGTAGTAGTAGTAGTAGTAGTAGTAGTAGTAGTAGTAGTAGTAGTAGTAGTAGTAGTAGTAGTAGTAGTAGTAGTAGTAGTAGTAGTAGTAGTAGTAGTAGTAGTAGTAGTAGTAGTAGTAGTAGTAGTAGTAGTAGTAGTAGTAGTAGTAGTAGTAGTAGTAGTAGTAGTAGTAGTAGTAGTAGTAGTAGTAGTAGTAGTAGTAGTAGTAGTAGTAGTAGTAGTAGTAGTAGTAGTAGTAGTAGTAGTAGTAGTAGTAGTAGTAGTAGTAGTAGTAGTAGTAGTAGTAGTAGTAGTAGTAGTAGTAGTAGTAGTAGTAGTAGTAGTAGTAGTAGTAGTAGTAGTAGTAGTAGTAGTAGTAGTAGTAGTAGTAGTAGTAGTAGTAGTAGTAGTAGTAGTAGTAGTAGTAGTAGTAGTAGTAGTAGTAGTAGTAGTAGTAGTAGTAGTAGTAGTAGTAGTAGTAGTAGTAGTAGTAGTAGTAGTAGTGGTAGTAATAGTAGCGTCAGTATTATATTCATTACTATCAGTAGTAGTGGTAGTATTTGTGTAGTGAACAGGAACACCAGTGGGGACAATCGAATGTATTTGACAGAAAATTACAGGACTTGTTAGCAAAATCTAACAATCATAAAGTAAATGCTTAATTTGCAAAATGTCCATCGATTGTCTCAAAATGACTCAGGCTTCATTGTTCTTGCATTTTCATACAAATTGCATTTTGTTTTCCATTCTTTACTGTTCGATCCTCTTGTCTCTCTGCTGCCAGACATTCTGTTCACGACTAACATCATCCACTACTTATATCAATATAAGTAGCATACACCACAGTAGTAGTACTAGTACTAGTACTAGTATTAGCATTAGTATTATTTTGTACAGAACTACTCGATTTTAAGATGACTTGGGTTATAAATGAACCATACAAATTTGTGAAAAACTGACCTGTTATTCTATTCTGTTTTTGAGCTCATTATAAGATTGAAGCCAGAAAATCTTGTTTTTATAGTTCAACATGAGTGTTTTAATTTAATCAGACATTGAACTGATAACCAATTTTTTGTAGTACTAATGATTTGATCATATACTCTTTTGATGAAGGCGGTCTAATGAATAGTTAGATTTATATCATATCATTGACTGAGCTGGATTTAATTGTCACATCTGACAGGTTCTTGAATCAAACTAGTGGATAAAACCGTGAGACTATCATTTATGGACGACCTATGGGCGATGCTCGTTTGACCTCGAGAGTGTTCACTTAATATCCAGGATCAAATGAAGGTTATAAATCTGTATGAGGAATTAGAATTATAATTTACAGTTGATGATGAAGGTTAGGAATTAGATTTCGAGTTTTTATCATGAACTGACATCACCGAAAATACCAAAACTGTATTTATCCAAATGGATGAATGAATTTCGCGCCAAAATCCGAGATCTTTTATCTTATATCTGATTAGTTCATCCATAAATTGTAGTCTTGCCTTTACTTCTAATAACCATTCAACTTTAATAGTGACAAACTATCATATCTATATGATAATCATCAGGAGTACTTAATAGCCTAACAAAATATGGTTAAATTCAAGATGTACCATTTTCACAACAAATCATGAAATCTACTAGTTCAAGGCTTTTAAACTTGACTCAATTCACAATTTAACAAAGTGGTTTGGTTGAAGTTAGATATTAACATCTATGGACGTAAAGTGTTCGCACGCGAGACTGAAGTTCCTTAGTTCGAATCCAACGTATTGGATCGTCGATGTGTGCTGCTGAGGAGTAGTCCCATACTAGAACAAGAATAGCCATAGCGATTTAGCTCTAATCAACTCATGAATTCAACTATTAAAAGTCAAGAGATTTTTATCCGTTAGAAACAAAATTGTGATATAATATAATAATTATTAAATTCATCAGTCAGTTAATATCAAACTATCAGAGAAAACCTGGAAGCAATCATTCCATGACTGTTTCGTCCTAACATAGAACTCTTCAGTAGCGTTCACCCATGATCTCGCCTGACGAGTAATATAATTACTAATAATTCATGATTCACTCTAATAACGCGATGACGTTTGAAGCGAACGGTACAAGGTTCGAGTTCTAGAGTGAACATCAACTCTGAGATGCAGGTACATCCAGCTGACGAGTCCCAAGCAGGACGAGACACGCGTCCTGGATTCCACTGCTAGTCACTTTCCATCTTTGCTTATAACTTTTGGATTAGTTGAAGTTAGAAATGAACACCATTAGATAACGGCCATCTCAGTAGTCTAATGGTTAAGCATTCTCTCGCCAGACTGATAACTCCTGGGTTCGAATCTCGCAAGGCGGCTGGATCGTAGATGTGCACTGTCAAAGAGGAGTCCCACAATAGGACGAAACGATCATTCAGTTCTTCCTCTAATCTTTTTATACTGATCTAGTTTCAATCAACTCATAATCTCATTTTGTTTTTCTTTTTTTTACAGGATTTTCCAAAATTGAAAATCTTGAAGAATATACAAATTTAAAATGTTTATTCTTAGAAGTCAATGGTCTATTGAAAATAGATGGATTACATAATCAAACTGAATTACGTTCATTATATTTAGCCAAAAACTTAATACGTTCTATTGAAAATTTAGATCATATGAAATATTTAGATACATTAGATGTTAGCTACAATATGATTACTAAAATTGAAAATCTTGGTAAGTAGTTGTTGCTATGTCATCTCAGAAAGGAGGGTATTTTTGTATTATTGTGAATAGTTGAGATCATCATGGAAAACGTGGAAGTACTGGACGACTGTAAGAATTTCATCAGGTTTCGTGTTACTCGGTACTCGTTAGCAAGGTGTACCAGTAATCTTGAGGTGTCAAGTTACCTAGACTGGTGGCCACATTGCAACATGGTCGGTAGCATTTGATCTGCACTAAATAAGGACTTGACACACATGACATTGATCACCACCCAGTGATGAATCAATTGTAATCAACATTATTGGATGCCGACCGGTTCAGTGATGTAGAGGTTAAGAGTTTGTATGCGAGACTGATAGATTTTGTTCTCTGAGTTGGATGGTTTAGTTGTGGAACTTTCATTATTCTTCTGAACGACATCATCAGCAAAAACTTCAGATAGAACTGAACTTGTAGTGTTGGTTATTATGTTAAGCCCATATACCTTATTCTAGCATTCGGACAGACCATTTCATTCATCCTACTTTAGTCACATTCTGACCTTGTTATTTATTCGCTTATCAATTCTTGACTGTTTTTAGGTAGGTGTGTGCACATTTCTCATCCCATTACTAATCACATGTCTGTACCTTACTTTCGTGTAACTATAAACATTGATTAACGCTTAGTTAAATGGGAGTTGGCTTACCAGTCATCTCCACTCTGTGTCGTCTCTCTTCTCTCTATTCCATTCGCTTTATATACAAAATATATGTATTCACAAGTCCATTCTCGTTATTCGACTTATTTAATTCCGTTATTGACTAACGTGATTTAAGTCGATGATGGTATACGAGGATAGGCGATAACAAACATTCATACGATCTAAGTGGAGTCAGATCCACGGGCCACTAAAGTGGAGAGCCCATCAACAAACAGCATCCGATCTAAACGACGACAAAATAACGGGCCCCACAAACTGTTCGAATTTCTCCACATGTGTTTCACAACTTATCCTGTAGACCCCGATGATGATTGGTTCTTGTCGGCCTTAAACTTGTTATTGTTTACTTCTTTGTTTTGGTTTTATCTCCCATTGGTTTGATTTTTATTCCTATGCGCCACACAAATCAGTCAGTTTATGTGAAGGCTGGTATACTGCCCTGTTATAACTTGTGACCGCCAATTAGAGAGCAGTGACTTATCGATCGGACCAAGGACGCGTAAACACGCGCGAGCAGCCCAGAGTTCTGATTGGCCCTGCTTTCCGCCCTGCCCAGCCAGATAAGTCCAGAACACAAGTCTCAGCCTCTGCGATATGAATCATTATATTCCAAACATACTGAGTTTATATACCAATCAAAAAGACCACAACGTACCGATAAAATATGAAACAACATTTGTACGAAAATCAGCGAGATGTGGCTGTGAATGACGGAGGTAGTAATTAGTATATTGGGTATAACTCAAGAATGGTAAAACATATAATAATGGTTCATAGGTCAAAATAAAGCTTATAATAAGAGGAATATGAATATGCATAGTTTAGTTACTTAATAATTATACAATAGGAATATACATATTGTATTGGTCCATCAATAGATCCAAAAAGTTATCATTCATTGTTCTTGTCGGGACATAACATGCCCGGGTTCCCAGACCGAAGCAAGTGGTTTTGCTAAAGGGCCACACTCCGAGCCTTTGACCTAGAGGTCTTATCCACAAGGCATTGAATCAACGTCAGGAGATTCAGTTCCATGATAAACAGTGACCAACGATCGATTCATATGCCATTTGTTCCCTCAGGATACTGGAGACCATGTACACCATTAGTTTGGAATCAAGGTTTTCTAACTTCCTTAAATGGATCATTCATATCCACCAACCCGGTTCAAGCATCAGACATTCTTATTTCATCCTGTCAATTTTGTAAACAACAGTAATACCACAAAAAGACAGTGAACAGGACTTCCCTATCAATGACTAAATACCCGTGGCTGTGTGACCATTTCAAGTGAGAAAGTTGACTCTTCCCACTTTCGGCCGAGTGCTATATATATATATATATATATATATATATATATACAATATTATTCCATTTGATAGTTCACAGAAGTTCCTCTCTTCTTAATGTTCACTTGAATATAACATCAACTTGTCAAGAATATCATCATTATTTACAAACAAACAAATAAATGAACAAACCAAAAAAATTTTTTTGTTTTTCATTAATCAATAAATTTTTTTATTTTTCTATCCCCAATCAAATTAGATTTGCTGCCAAATTTTACAAAATTAATTATATCCCATAATAAATTAACCGAAATTAATGATTTAATTCATTTAATTAAATGTGAACAATTATCTGTACTTGATATACAATATAATTTTATAAAAGATCCGAATGTGGTTGACGAGGTATTTGCTAAATTACCAAATTTAGTAAGTTTATATTATGAATACATCATATGGATAATATGATCTTTGGTTTCTTTTCTTTTTTTTTGTTGTTGCTAAGAGAACTTTAGTATTATATTGATTATTATTTTATTAAAACATATCAATTGATTTGATAAGAGGATGATTGAAAGTAGTGTACACTGCGCGGCAGTCCGTTCTGTTTTAATTTACGGCAGCGAAACATCATAGGCTACTAGTATTTGACCATAGATGCCTTAGAAATATTGCTGGCGTCTGCTAGGATCACTGGGTAAGTAATAGTGAGGTTCGACGCAGGGTATTAGGGAATGATGGTAAATCAGTTGACGAGTTTGTTAATCTTCATCGACTGAGATGGTTGGGTCACGTGTTACGTATGCCTGAACACCGATTACCACGACGTGCAATGCTGAATAGTGTTGGGGATGGTCGGAAGAAAGTTAGGGGTGGCCAAACCAAAACGTGGCATCAGTGCCTGAAGTCACTAACTTCTAGTCTGAGCCATGTTGGTAGATGCAGACTACTTGGTTGGGGTCCGCGTGACTGTAGTAACCAATGGTTGGAGACTCTTGGTGACGTGGCTCAGAATTGATCACAATGGCGTCGTTGTATACATTCACTGTCTTCCCTTAAACTGTGAGATTAAAATCGCTTCATATCTTTCTTTCTATAAAATAATTCTTTCTTCCTGTATTATATCCTTATTGCAATCTTTCTTTTATATATTACCATTTCTGAATTAACTACTATTATGAATCCGGTGTTCATCTTGTTGTGTTAATGAGGTATGGCAACTTGGACCGATGCATAAGTGTGCCTGGTCCTACGTTGTAGCTGACTGACTGACCAGTCGCACTCTACAGTGAACAAGAAACTCTTAATGGAGATTGTGTGTTATTTGGCATTTGTCAGCAAGATGATCTGTAGCAGTAATGTTGAGGGAACTGATGCGCTTTGACAGATTCGATCCCATATCAACTGGATTCATAATCAGTGAGATTATCACTGAGCTATTCGGATAGCGATTGATCTCCTGTAAGACTGAGATATATTTATGATTTATTGATCATTAGTTGGTGATCACTGTCATGTATATCAGATTATTTTTAGTGAAGATTCAATCAGTCAGTTGCAACGTAAGATCAGGTACATGTATGCATCAGTCCAAGTTGCCTTACATCATTAGCACAACAAGATGAACACCGGATTCATAGGAGTGGTTAGGTCAATAGTGGTAATATATAAAAGAAAAATTGCATATAAGGATATAGTACAGGAAGAAAGAATTAGTCTGTAGAAAGAAAGATATGAAGCGATTTTAATCTCACAGTTTAAGGGAAGACAGGGAGTGTATACACCGACTCCATTGTGATCGATTCTGAGCCATATCACACAGAGTCTCCAGCAATTGGTTACGATAGTCACGCAAATCCCAACCTAGTAGTCTGTATCTATCGACATAGTTAAGACTAGAAGTTAGTGAGTTCAAGCACTGATATCACGTTTTGGTTTGTTGCCCCCTAACTTTCTTTTAACTGTCTCCAACAGTAATCATCATTGTACGTCTTGATAATCGGTTGAGAGTTCAGAGTTTCCTGTTGACTGCCTCTAAACACCATCTTATTCCAACTTAGTACATACAATGTCAAGTCACCTAGACTGGTGGCTAGATTGCAACTTGGTCGATAAGATTCAATTTTCACTAAGAAGGACCTGATATTGATCACCACCCAGTGATTAATCGATTACAAACAAATTGACTTGTTTTAGTATTAAAGTTACATACATAGTATACCCAATGAATAAATGAAGTGAGTTAGTTAGGTTATGAGTTATGTAAGATTTTCAAATTCTTATGTCAATGAAATATAAACGGTGTGTTATACTTTGAAATTTGATTATACTTAGATATCATTAAGTTTTCAAGCGAAATCGATTGTTAGTAAATCCCTCCGGTCTATTATTTAAACACTTAAATATTTACTATAAAGTAGAACCATATTATACTATATGATGTTGTAGTAAGCCCATTCAACTATTGTATTATTCGTATGTTCACTGTAATTCACTATGTAAAATTTCTGGGTGAGACTGAAAGTCCTGGATTCAAATCTCACGTGCAGGATCATGGATGTGTTGAGGAATCCCATGCTAGGATGAAACGGCCGTTCAGTACTTTCAGGTTCTCAGTGGTGGTCTAACGTCGATTGATTCATGATCTTAATCAGAAACTTAATAATAATAATAGTAAAAATAGATTAGATTGATTACAGTTTGACCTCATTTGGAATACTACTGAAAACCAAGAATATTAGATAACTGACTCATCCTAGTATGAAACTCTTAAACAATGCACATCGACGATGTCGGATGTAACAATGAGAATAAATTTATATCATGATTACACACTATTGACAAGTCCCAACCTCGATAGGAAAGAAGGTAAAACAGTTTATCTCTCTGACTACCTCAAACCAAGTACTATCACATCATACCGAACGTGATGTTAAGTCCCATAGACCATTGGATACATTTCAACATCCTTATTTCAATTCGCTCAAAACTCAAATGAATTGAGATGGATGAAATTTCTTGCCAATTACAGATCAATATCAGATGGGTTTTGTGGATATTATAGTAATTTCAATGGTTAAGATCGTGAGTCAATTGAAGCTAGACCACTATGGAAAACCTGGAAGCACTGGACGGCCGATTCGTCCTATTGTGGGACGCCTCAGCACTGCGCATCCACGACCTCGCCCCCCCGCGAGATTCTAACCGAGGACCACTAGACCACTGAGTTAGCATCCAACGGTGTTAATATCTAACTTCAACTAATCCACGAAATTGAGCGACCCATCCACCACTGTCTTCAGTGAGTTACTATCTCACAACAGACCTGGTTGAACTCCACTGTTCACTACTTTTCACTAGAACTCCAGGATATACCTCGTGAAGCCAGTCACAATAGGTCGAAACGGCCGTCCAGTGCTTCCAGGTTTTCCATAGTGATCTAGCTTCAACTGACTCATGATCTTAACCATTGAAATTACAGATCAATCCATGTACTTATTTACATGATCAGATTTTGCATTATAAAGAATGAAACTACTTGAAATTAATGAGTAGTATCTAATGAATAAGAATTTACTTTAATCATAATCCACATGTTTTGTTCTTTATATATAAAAACAACATTTCCAGAGAGTTTTATACAATCAAGGAAATCCATTTATTCGTGAAGTGAAGAATTATCGTAAGAATATTATTAATCAATGTGTAAGTTTATAAACGAGGGTAATTTTATCTTAGTAACATGATTATGTAATCTATTAAATAAATTTACCAATGGAGATAATAAAAAAATCTTTTTTCTTTTTCAAAACTATACGATTTATCTATATTGTTCATTTCAAAATTATTGCCCATATCGTTTGTATTATTATTGTGTTCTAGGGGGGTTAGATGGTTTAACTGGGAAACTTTATTATCATTATCGACACAGGATCATCAACGCATATTTCAAGGATTGGTTGAGATTAGACATTAATACCTTCTTTTTTATCTCGGCTCAGTGGTATAAAGGTTAAGCGTCCATGATTGAAACCGAAGATTCTGTGTTCGAATCTTTTTTGCGGGATTGGGGGTGTGTACTACTGAGGAGTCTTGTACTACGACGAATCGGCCGTCCAGTGCTTCCAAATTTCCAATGGTGGTCTAACGTCAATTGATTCATGAATTCAACTATTAAATAATACTTATTACTAATAAAAAGTGAATTCAGCATTGTTAATCTATTTGATAACAAGTGTGCTTACAATCCTGTCCAAATCTTTGATGCATACATATTACAGCTTATCTCAGGCTTTGTGTATATCATAAGGGATGATGGTGATTAGTGAATTAGGTAGGTCATCAATATATTACTTACTTTATTTCTTAACTACTTACGCCCGTTACTCCCAATGGAGCATAGGCCGCCGACCAGCATTCTCAAACTCACTCTGTTCTGGGCGTGCTTTTCTAGTTCCTTCCGATTGTTGTTCATTTTTCTCATGTCTGTCTCCATTTCTCCACTTAATGTGTTCTTTCGTCTTTCTCTCCTCCTTTGGCATTGAGGATACCATGTGAGGGCTTGCCTCGTGACACAGTTGGGTGGTTTCCTCAATGTGTGTCCTATCCATTTCCAGCTCTTCTTCCTGATTTCTTCCTCCACTGCAATCTGGTTTGTTCTCTCCTACAATAGGTTGTTGTTGCTGATAGTGCCTGACAAACGGATACGAAGTATTTTGTGTAGACAACTGTTAACAAACACCCGTATCTTCTGGATGACGGCTTTCTTAGTTCTCTAGGTTTCCGCTCAATACGGTAGAACTGTGTTGACATTTGTATTGAAAATTCTGATATTGGTGTTGGTTGACAGACAGTTTTTTTTTGAGTTCCAGATATTCTCCAGTTGTGAATATGCTGCTCTTGTTTTGCTGATCCGCGCTTTCATATCTGCATCAGATCCACCGTGTTCATCAATGATGCTTATCAGATATGTGAAGGTTTTCACCTCCTCCAAATCCTCTCCGTCAAGTGTGACTTGATTGGTGCATGTTGTGTTGAGTTGGAGAATCTTGCTTCACTGGTCGTCTTCTCGTGCATTTGTTGTTGCGTGTGCGATAGAAGAGCCAGACCATCTGCAAAGTCTAGATCGTTCAGCTGCATTCTAGCTGTTCTCTGTATCTCATTCTTCCCCTCAGATTTTGACGTCTTCATAATCCAGTCGATTACTAAGAGGAAGAGAAAGTCTGAGAATAAGCAACCTTCACCAATATATACATGTATTATATTTTCTTTCTTATTTCAGAAAAACCTCACTTATCTAGATGATCGTCCAGTTTTTCCAATGGATAGAGCATGCGCTGAAGCATTGTAAGTTTATTATTATAATTCAGTGTTTTATTCAATTGTATATAACATAGTTACTCGGGGGGAATTGAAAAAGAACGTGAAACTAGACAACAATGGATTGATGCAGAACAAAAAAAGATTTTAGATAGTGTTAAATGTAAGTTTATTATTCACTTGTTGCTGTTTTTACTTGTATCTTCCCATTGTTATTTAGGACTGCAATTGATCAGTCTCATGTTGGCATATGTGCATCCTGTGAGGATTGCCTCAATATTGCCTTAAGTTACAAGGTTTTTAAGCAAAGATACATGTGTATCCAACTGACGAGTCCTAAATAGGATGAAACGCGTATCCTGGATTCTACTGCTAGCCACTATCCATCTTTGCTTAATAAGTTTATTATTGTTATATTATACTTTCTTATCATCTACATAAAGGTTTGTATAATGGATATTAAGTTTAGACTTGCTAACCATTTGCTTATTCATTTTTTTAAAAGGGTTATCCAATAAGCGTCAAGTCATAGAAGCAACACGTCATAAGACTGAATTAAGTAAACAAGCTGAAGAAGCTGGTTTATCAACTGACGACATACAGGTTACACCAGGTGATGTTGACTGGTTATATGGAAATGTAGATAGTGCAAAAAATGAAAGTGATTCAGGTCAAGAACTTGAAGAAACAAATAATGATGTAGAAACCTATACCGTATCTTCATCAAATGCAAGAGATGAAGAACTTGATCCTATGACAGATTCTGAACCATTGAACACTCAAACATCTGAAGAATTTTATTCATCAGAGATGGTTAACTTAAAGGCTGATAACACAGAATTGAATAGTTCACTGAAAAAGAATGACGAAGAATTAATTTTTGATGATAATACTGTTATGAGTGAACAGAAGAACAATTCTAATGAAGATGAAGTAAGTGTAAGACTGTACTTTGAAAAAACAAAGGTAATAATTTCATTTAATGATTAGATCCGAACTTGTAATAATTGAATGACTTGGTATTGTTTGTTTGAATCTTTTCATTCATATTTAAGACTGCAATTGATCAGTCTCTCCAGTGCTTCCAGGTTTCCAACGGCGGTCTAGCTTCAATCGGTTGATGATCTCAATCAAAGAGTCTCTCTCTTATTGGCATATGTGCATACTGTGCGTATTGCCTCGATATAGCCTTAATTCACAGGCATTATATGCAAAGATGGATAATGGCTAGCAGTGGAATCCAGAATGCGCATTTCGTCCTATTTGGGACTCGTCAACTGGATGTACCTGCAACTCAGAGTCGGTGTTCACTCTGGGACTCGAACTCAGTAGCGTTCGCTCCAAACGCCATCGTGTTATCTACCTAGCTACTGAGTCATGATAGCTAGTTGCTTGTGCAATGAGGTGAAGTTTAAATTCACTTGGTATTGCATGATATAAGAAGTTTTTAAGCTGTTGAAATTGAAATGATCTTGTATATCGACGGACGCTGATAACGTCATGCAGTTCCATATAGCTGCTGTATACAAAACCGATATTATTTTGAATGGTCCATAGATGTATTTGACTGAATATCTACTATGTTTTCTAGTAGTTTACGGGTAAGATCATATCTTAGAAATAGGATACCAGATAGGAATGGCAAATAGATTGGTGTGGTAGTGAATCTGCATCAAATAAAGTGGTTAGGACATATTTAACGTATGCCTAGCCACCGCTCTAAAAGTGACCGAACGTTATAAAATTTAAATTTGAAACAACTAAAAATAAACTGTAATCGAAGAATAATTACAAGAATTCCTTATAACAGAATGTGGATTTGTGAGGATTTAGCTAGGATTAAGCTAGACCACCACTGAACAACCCTGAAAGCATTGGACGGCCGTTTCGTCATAGTCTGGAACTCCCTTACAGTGCGAATACACGACCTCGCATTCCTGATCCAAACCAAGGATCTTCTGCCTCTCACGCTTAACCTATAAACTGCTAAGCTGCATAACTTCAATCGATCTATGATCTTGCTCAACCCTTCATTCATTGTCTCATACTAGGACGAATCTGTCGTTCATTGCTTCCAGGTTCTATCTGAGATCGACTCATGAATTCGTCTATTAAAATTCATTATATGTTTATTAAGTTCTCGTCAGATATTTAGAATCCAATTACTCAAAGGTGTAAAACTCTTGAACTTTGAAATGTAATTGATATCGATTTGACTATCACTACTTTTGTAAAGTGATAGGAACTATCACTGATTCATTTCATCATAAAATAGATCTTTGGTTATTAACAATTACCTAATTTTTTAGTTTCAGTCAGTCCGTCAGTCAGCTACAACTTAGGATCAGGCACATATGTACATTGGTTAAACTTGCCATAGAAATATATGAAAGAAAGATTGCTTATAAGGATATAATACAGGAAGAAAGAATTAGTTTATAGAAGGGAAGGTGTAAAGTAAATTTAATCTCATAGTTTAAGGGAAGACAGAGTGTGCACCTACGCCACTGTGATCGATTCTGAGCCATATCACCTCGAGTCACCAACTATTGGTTACGATATTTTACGAGAATCTATCAGTACAATAGACTTAGTAGTAATCCACTGATTTTTCTAACCTTTTGGTTTAAATCACTAATAGACGTCGCTTCTGTTTCCACAGCTGTTTGTATATCTTTCCAAGCAACATCTGGGTCAGCCTCGTTTTCAGAATCACCTAAGTGTGATCCTAGTTATTCCTGGAATCTAATTCTGGCTTTCTCGTCACTGAGTTCAACTCTAATGGGTATTCTTAATGTGGCTTTCCTGTGTTCAGATAGGCGCAAGCACCAGTCTGGAAAGGATAGGAGGCTTGATAGTCTGTGTTAATCTTGGCAATGATGGCTTCTTAGTTGATCGAACTTTCTCGTAAAAAAGTCGACAGATGGAGCTCCAATCACGTGTTGAGTTAATGAATTCCACCTGTTGATGATGCGATGGGAAATTCGATAATCAGCAGACAATTAATTTGTTCTTGGCTTGTGAACATGATTGCCTCGATGTTGCCTTAATTCACAAGCATTATAAGCAGAAGCAAGCGGCAATCAGAACTTAGTAACTAAGTGAATAACGTGATGGCGTTTGAAGCGGGCAGTACTGAGTTCGAGTCCCAGGATGAAAGTCAACTCTGAGATGCAGATACATCCAGCTGACGAGTCATAAATAGGACGAAACATGCGTCCAACTGGATACCACTGCTAACCACTATCCATATTTGCTTAATAATGATTTTCACTCATTTGCTATTTTGATTTCTATATTGTAGATTGAATCCATTTCAGTGAATGAAGAAATATCTTTAGTCAAAGTTAATGAAAATAATAATAATTCAATTTTCAGTCATTTAAATAATGATAATAATGGCAATGATCATAATGGTATGAATAGAAGCAATTTATTATCATTCTTAAATATTACAGGTAAAGAAAATGTTCATAATCTATTCATTCATTTCATGTTATGTATATGTAGGCAAGAAATAACTTTGAGTACATTGACCTTAAGTCCGCCTGTAGCTCTTCTAGAGTTACTGCCGGTCCCATGACCAGGTAAAGGAGGAGGGTTGGGCATGGGGTTAGCGACCCCATCCCGTAGATAACTAACTCGCTAAAAAAACGCTAACCAGGAAAAATAATTTAAACCATTTAAACTCTACCCTGGGAGTTAGAATGTCTTCATTTAGAAGAACTATGACGGCTCATTGTGAAAGCCAAGTTTCTTCGGAAGCCATGAGGTCGATGCCTCTTCTAACAACCAGAGCAAAAACTTTTATAGGTACGTGGAACGTCCGAACAATGTAGGAGACCGGGAAGACCAGTCAAATAGCAACAGAACATTGACCTTGATACTGTTTTCCTTAATGATTGTTCAACTTAACTAAAATTCACCTTTTATTCAATCTGAGCATTAGAAATACCAGACATAATTTATATTATCCAGACTCAAAATCACATTTGATAATATAATGGGGTATGTTATATAAGTAGTATATAATGCTAGTCAGGAGTAGAATGTCTAGCAGAAGGTCAAGATTATCGAGGAGGAACGAACAGGAGCAGAAAGCAATTGGTATGGAAATGCAGAAACGATGAAGTATGAGATGATTGACGGATATTTGCAAAAAGGAACAGTCGAGTTTGAGATAATTGATTGACATTTTGCAAAATGGATTATTCACTGTATGGTTCTCAGATTTTATTAAGATGCTCGGTAATGTTGTATTCAAATATATTTGATTGTCCTAACTTGTGTACTCGTTCACTACAATATATAAATAAAATATAAGATCACGATGTACTATGAATAGTAAGTCGTGGCATATGGATTAGCAGAGAATTTTCGAGTAATGGGAAGAGTAATGAACTGTCTGTACCAATACGTTACTTGTATTTTCTTCCTCATGTATTCTTTAATATAACTAGGAGTGAATATATTGAAAACTAATGGATGCTAACTTGTAATGGCAGATAGACATTTTTTTTCTGAATGCATATAACTAAGATACATATGTCGTAATGGGATTTATAGAAATAGTGTTTATTTTGTGGATCTATTTCCGGCTCAATGGTCAAGAGGTTAGGAGTTGGCTCATGAGATCGATAGATTCTGGATTCGAATCTTGTGAGGCGGGATCATGGATGGGCACTGCTGAGGAGTCCCATATTAGAATGAAACGGCCGTCTAGTACTTCCAGGTTCTCCGTGATGGTCTAGCTTCAACTGATTCATGATCTCAACTATTGAAATTACTTACTAATTATTAAACATTCAAGTTTGTTTATATTACGGAAGACTACTTGAGTTTAAAGGCAGTTGGACTGTGACAGATAGTGAAATTTAAGATTTTCGTTTCTTTCAGTTTGGTCTTAGTTGTCTGGACGTAACTGAACTCCAGTATTAATCCCCACTACGGGATTCTAGTTCATTAAATTTTTCTACAAACAACCAACCCGTTATCCACCAAGCTAATAAGTCTGAGTAGCCACTGGTTTGTACAGATGGATGAATTTTTTTGGTCTGCATTGGCTATTTGTACTGCTAAATCGATTTGTTATGTGGATAACGCGTAGATATTTGACCTGAAAGTTACTGGGTTCTAGTCATTGTATGAACATCAAAATTAAGGTACAGGTACATCCAGTTGACGAGCTTTAAACATGACGAATCTTATGTTCCGGATTCTATTATTGGTCAGTATCAAGACCTTGCTTAAATACCTAAATTTATAAGTTAATGGTTGCTCTGGTTGTCAGAAGAGGCAACAGCCTCGTGACTTCCGAAGAAACTCGGCTTTCACAATGAGGCGTCATAATTCTTCTAAATGAAGACATTCTAACTCCCAGGTCAGAGTTTAAATGGTCTGAATTATTTTTCCTGGTTAGCGTTTTTTAGCGAGTTAGTTATCTACGGGATGGGGTTGTCAACCCCATGCCTAACTCTCCTCCTTTATTCGGCTTTTGAGTCGGCAGTAGCCCCGAGGGCGGCTCCATGCGGAGTTTTGCTTAAATACACTTATGATTTATTATCACTATCAAGGTAATCCGCATAGGATTGTTTCAAATGTTATCTTTCTCACTAAATATTATAAAGCTCTCATCTTATTAACAACGGTTTAAGAATTGCTTTCTATGATTACTGTTTGTTGTTGAAGATTTTATAATGATTAGTTTTAACTTAAGATGATTTTTCTCATGGATTTCTTTCTTTGTTAAACAAGTAGAACTACTGAAAATCAGTGATTAAGTGGATAATACTAACTGATAAGTCTTGTAATCGAATGTTAGATTCTGTTTCTAAGGTCTTCTAGTAACCTCTAGGCCAAATCTACCCAGACTTGAACATGAGAGAGAAGGTGTGAAATATGGAAGAAACGTATTACTCCAAGGTTCGCTTTTATACAGAAAATCTAGGGTATTTATAGTACTTTAGATAGCCTTGGGCTTCCGGGAATTTCTGGAACGTCAATAAACATAGTAGCAGTATAGGTAATTATTCAGTCAGCAACTCGACATGTGACGTTTCACTTTCTAGATGTTTCTGACAAAACTTCTCTTGAATGCTGATTGGATAAGATGTTTCTTAATGTTTTTTACAGCCTTTTGAGGCTGTTTCTTTCGAGGAGTTTTTTGGATCTCTCTAACACTGATGACATCAATAGATTTACTATTGAGTCATTTCTATAAACGAATGTGATTATGGTTTTCCATAGATTCAATCTATTTAGCTCTATACAAATGAATTGATACTGATACTAATATTTATTGTTCTATTGTTCATTTTCTTTTTAGGTAATTGTAACGATGTTGAAGTGTCTGATCAAGAGATTGAAAATGATTGTACAGAAAGTAATGAACTAGGTGAGGAACAACTGTACAAATGTTTCTGATATGTGGACATGAATGATAATCATTAGTTGTTTACTTAGTCAGACTTGTGGATGGTCTGATATGTACTAAATGAGATATGTCTTTCCCTAGCCTTACTATTATTGTGTTTGTTGTCGGCTTTTGATGTGGAAATATACATACGTTCTAGTCCGGCTAATCACATGTTCTTGATCTGAATTGTGTTGAAGTCCTGTAGACTAGACGCTGGAAGGGTATCTACTGTAGATATTCGTTTCAGGTATATTAGCGTCCCACTCGTGTAGATGTGGAAATCTTGAGCGTCATAACAGTTTCTGTATTATTTTTGTATCATTAGAATGTAAACTTTACGAAGTTGAACTCTTTGACTATATTCATAACATTATTCAATTACGTAACGTTTTAATTTCTATTTAGATGGTTTGACTATTAAAACAAGAAATATGAAAACTTTTAAGAATTTTATAACAACAATTGATAATAGTGGTAAGTCTTAATTTCAGAAGGGGTTTTGTGGATATTATAGTCATTTTAATAGTTGAGATCATGAGTCAATTGGAACTAGACCATTATAGTAAACCTGGAAGCACTGAAAGGCCGTTTCGTCGAACTCCTCAAATGTGCGCATCCACGATCCCGCTCTCCCCCGCGAGATTCTAACCCAGGACCTATCGGTCTCGCTCGCGAGCGCTTAACCATTAGACTACTGAGCTGGCATCCACTGGTGTTATTGTATAACTTCAATTAATCCACGAAATTCAGCGACACATCTATCATTGTCTTCAGTGAGTTACTATTTCACAACAGAACCGGTTGAAATCCACTGGTCACTGCTTCTCACTAGAACTTCAGGAAATACCTCTTGGAGACCATCACTTGTGAGTATATGTTGATTAATATCAGAAAGAGCCTGAATCTCGCGATGCGGGATCGTGGATGAGCACTGCTGAGGAGTCCCATACTAGGACGAAGCGGCCGTCCTGTGCTTCCAGGTTTACCATAATGGTCTAGCTTCAATTGACTCATGATCTCAACTATTAAAAGTCATAATTTGTTGATAACATTACTCTTTCCAATAAATGCTAGATCTAAGTGAGTGAAATTTTAGAGAAAATTGTTAAAACTCCTTATATACTAATGAATTGTTGATAGTTATTTATCAAGATCATACATACTGAATAAATAAATCATAATGAATAGGATAAACATATCACTGTTGGGTGTAAAGACTATAACGATGAAATCATCGAATGGTAGTTGACTTCAGATCTTGTTAAAGGCATTTAGAACAGGAATTGGATGGAACTAGAAAAGAAGGCTCAGGACAGAGTGGGTTGAAGAATGCTGGTCGGTGACCTATGCTTTATTAGGAGTAACAGGCGTAAGTAAGTAAGTTAGTAAAGACATTGAACGTATATAATATGTTGTGCTTTCAAATCTACGACTCATTGTTCATTTACAAATCAAACATGATGAGATAATTGAAAGTAATTGTTCTTGATAACTTACATAAATTTAAATAATGCAAACGTGGAATTGATAAACGTCGTATTGTTACAATATGAGTTGTATTTTGAAAAACGGGAGATTTATTCACCCTTAAATTTGAAATAAAGAATCTTTTATGAAGGGATTTATTAGAATTATTGAATTAAAAGAACTCAAATTTATGAGTATATGGTTTTGGAGATTATTGAAGATTATTGAGATCCCGACTGAATGTAAGTTAAACTTAACTTTGACCGATCCAAAAGTCCTGGGTTCGATTTCCTATGTCGAGATCGTAGATGGACTATGCTGAGGAGTCCCATTGTAGGACAAGGTTCATAAGTCATCTGATTACCACAATCACAAATAAAGAAACTTCTTGATAGTCCCATTTGTTGTAGTCACTCAGTTATTACGTTTGTTTTCTAAAATTCGCTGTGAACTGATCGTAACTGAGCATCAGGTATTATAATCTCGCCGAAATGAATGAAAACGTGAAATGAATTGTAAAAAAGATTAGTAGAGTATGATTTTTGGCATAATTTGATTGTCAATATGATTTCCATTTTCTAAACAGATCAACTTGATGAAACGATCGTATTAAGTGACGAAACAGTAAGTGAATGGTTTTATTTTTTTAAAAGTTTATCCAAATATTTGCTGTGATATTTATTGTTTTCAAACTGTGAGTTACTTTGAGTTTCAAGCTGATTGGTATGTACCGGTAATGAATCTGTGAAATATTTAGGGAAGTGACGTTACCTGGGTAATTAGAACTCACCCAATGTCATCATTTGAGATACTACTACTGATCAATACTAGACTATATTGATTTTCCTTAGCACTAAAGCCATATTTATCGTGTGTATGTAAGATCCTGCTAACTGAACTAGAGGCTATATAGCAGAACGACCTTTGGATTTATATTAACACTTTGGATAAGACAGAAACGACATAACGATAAATCAATGTAATTAACCATAGCTTATAATCAATATACAGTTTACAGATAAATAACTGGTATGTAGTCACTGGATTTAGGTTAAGAATATTATCATCGTTATTAATCACTATTTTTAATATTCAAAGACAACAGCTGTAATCAGAACTATAAAGAATACTTGTTATGTGAAGATTTGTGATAATATTATCTATCTGAAATCTATTTATTAGTATTTCAGAGCCAAGAACTTGTACACACCTATGAATCAACCCATTAAGTTTTATTATGAATAAAGTTAGGTAAAATATTATAGTTTTTGAGTGAGATCATAAGGCCGAGTGCCCTGGATTCGAATCTCGCGGGCGGGATCTTGGATGCACACTGCTGAGAAGTCTTACAATAGGACGAAATGGTCGTCCTGTGCTTCCAGGATTTTAATATTGGTCTAACATCAATCAATTCATGATTTCAATCAAAAACTTAATAATTTCCACAATCCAATACTGAGAATATTATAGATAACAGTTTTGAAAATGTAGTATCATGAAGGTTTCCTGATAGTAAGCAGGCTTTATAATAAGGTTTTGATTGACATCATGAGTCAGTTGAAGCTAGACCACCATGGAAAACTTGGGAACACAGGACGGTCGTTCCGTCCTAGTATAGGACTCCAGCAGTGCGCACCCACGATCCCGCACCCCGCGAGACTCGAACCCAGGACCTATCAGTCTCGCGCCTAGCGCTTAACTAACTAGGCCACTGAGCCGGCATCCAGTGGTATTAATGTCTAACCTCAATCAATCCACGAAATTGCGCGACCATCTTCCATTGTACTGAGTTAGATGCCTGTTTCTACCCGACACGGATTAGCTCCACTGGTCACGGATTCTCACCAGAACTCCGAGGATTTTCTCACGAAGCTAGTCACTAGTGAGCACACATGTTAATTATCAGTTTAGGGGTTGTGGAGATTGTTAACTTTTTGATTGAAATCATGAGTCACGAGTTATAATAAATAGTTCTATCATAAAACAATATAGAAATGAAACATTGTTCTATTCCAATGAATGTATTAAACAAACATTAAACTTTTTCATAATATGATAGAAAAGGATTATTATTAGTTCACTAAGTAACTCTCTCTCTCTCTCTATTTCCTTTCATTTTTTGAAACTGAAATTAGGCTAAAGAAAATCCATCTCATATTCCAAAAGTGAGTTTCAAGTTTTAATAGATCCATCTTTATCATAGTTTTTAAAATGGTAATTAAAAGTCATCATCATTGTTCTATTTAGATGTTTATCTGCATGAACTAAATACGCTTGACATAAATATATATATATCCTCATACACAATCTTTCTTCTATACATTACTACCATTGAAGTGACTATTTCTATAAATTCGGTGTTCATCTTGTGTCATTGAGGTATACCAACTTGGACCGTTGCAATATATCTGGCTGGTCCTACGTTGTAGCTGACTGACTGACTGACTACGCATTTTTGCACGAGAGTGAGGGTCCAGGTTTAGATCGTGAATGTGCATTTTTCTGGGGAGGGGGTGGGGGGTTTTGTAGAAGGATGGAACGGTCGTCCAAGGCTTGTATGTTTTCAATGATGATCTAACAATGATCAATTCAAAACTTCAATGAAATTCAACAATCCCTACAACTCTATATTTAAAATAGTAAATTTTGGAATGATGAATATACACTGTGAACTGGAATAGGTGTATACGTTCAACAGAATTGTGACATAAGTAATCGGAATAAATATAGGTAATATAAGATAACTATCTCATTAAAAATCAGATAAATCGTGTGTGTTAACTAAAGTGTGTATGGGAGACTAATAGATCATTCGGTTCTATTATTATTGCAACTTCTCAGTAAATTAGATATCAACCTCAAACCGCGAGGTATCTCTAATGGCTAACACGACAATGAGTTACACTATGATTTCAAAGGCTAACATAAATGGAACTAGTTACTGAATAATAATAAGTAGTATATAGTAATGAACAGAACATAAGTTGAATAAGAAAAGAATGAAGATAGAGTATTTACAGTTTACATTGCAGATGAGTTTCATTCGGTGAGCAAATAAAAATAGGATGACAGGCACTAGATATCTGTTCTGTATGAATATATAAAACTTCTCAACAATGTAATTTCAATATAGTCTTTTTCAAGAATTTACCAAGTAATTTAAAATTTCAAAAGGAATAAAAAAGTAGTATAAGCTTTACAACTTGACAACTAGATCTTTACACTTCTTTGCCAAGACACAACTGAGTTTATTGAACTAATGAGCTGATCAATGTTAAAAACTTGCAAGCACTGAACGACCATTTCATCTTACTATGCGATCTTTCATTACTCCATGTCCACAAACCTGTACTCGGGAATCGAATCTAGGAACTTTAGTCTCACATGAGAACATTTAATCTTCATATCACTGAATTGTCATTTAACGGTGTGGAGGCTTTCTTTTAAGGTTAATCACAAGCAAGTTTTAGAAGTGGTTCATTTTACGAGAACTTGAGCAGAATCTTTTACACGGTTTTTCATTCACTATTTTAAAAATAACCGTGAAATGATGATGATTGTTCATGTAGACAACTTATTGGAGAAAATAACATTTCTTAAACGGACCAAGAGAACATTTGGGAAAAAACGATTCTAAGTCACCAAGTTATTTAACTATTTGATTTGATAAAAAATCCAAGCCTGTACTGTAGTGAACGGAACACGGGTGAAGACGGCTGAATATACTTAACATGAAATTACAGAGCATTTCAATGAAATCTGAGAACTTTATATTAAATCGTTAATTTGCAAAATGTCCACCAATCGTCTCAAAATGCCTCAGACTTCATTGTTCTTACATTTTCATACAAATTGAATTCTATTCCCGCTCTTGCTTTCTTGATCTTCCCTCATCTTCTGCTGCCAGACATTACATTCCTGACTCGCATAATATACTACTTATATCAATATAAGTAGCACGCACCACAGTACTACCTTTGTTACTGTACAATTGCTTTTTAATTTATTGTCCGGATAATTGCTGATGTAGTGAATTTGAAGATATTGTTTGTATTAATAATTTTAATAGACAATTTACAGAAAAAGAATCAATTTAAAACGACGAAATAACTAGAGATTTTTAACTTCTAGAGACTTTTATAAATGTTATGAACAAGGAAACAGAGTTAGAACAAGTGCTTTATCAAAACTAGGAAATATTTTACAAGTGGATAAGAATATCGCTTTCTAAATTTGGCACACTTGAGTTTTTGTGACTTCAGTTGACATATATACTGAATATGCTTTATCAGTAAAAACGTTAAGTTTCATGCAAGACGACTATGGAGCGTGTCCAAGACCTTTATGTGCATTTTAAGACTTCCTTACTTACAAACACCTGTTATTCTCAATGGAGCATAGCCCACCAAGCAGTATTCTCAAACCCATTCTATCCTGGGCCTGCTTTTCTACTTCTATCCAATTGTTGTTCATTCTTCTCATGTCTGTCTCCACTTCTCCACGTAATGTGTTCTTTCGTCTTCCTCTCCTCCTTTATTTGGACTTGAGGATACCATGTGAGGGCTTGCCTTGTGACATAGTTGGGTGCTTTCCTCAATGTGCGTCCTATCCACTTCCAGCTCTTCTTCTTGATTAATTCCTCCTTTGCAATCTGGTTAATTCTCTCCCATAGTAGGTTGTTGTTACTGATAGTATCCGGCCAACCGATCTGAAGTATTCTGTGTAGACAACTGTTAACAAACACCCGTATCTTCTGGATGATGGCTTTCTTAGTTCTCCAGGTTTCCGCTCCATACAGTAGAACTGTGTTGACATTTGTAATGAAAATTCTGACATTGGTGTTGATTGACGGACAGTTGTTTTGAGTTCCAGATATTCTCCAGTTGTGAATATGCTGCTCTTGTTTTGCTGATCCGCGCTTTCATATCTGCATCAGATCCACCGTGTTCATCAATGATGCTGCCCAGATATGTGAAGGTTTTCACCTCTTCCAAATCCTCTCCGTCAAGTATGATTTGATTGTTGCATGTTGTGTTGAGTTGGAGAATCTTGCTTTTCCCTTTGTGAATGTTGAGTTCTACTGCTGCTGGGGCTGTTGCTTCACTGGTCGTCTTCTCGTGCATTTATTGTTGCGTGTGCGATAGAAGAGCCAGATCATCTGCGAAGTCTAGATCGTCCAACTGCATCCTAGCTGTCCTCTGTATCTCATGCTTCCCCTCAGATTTTGACGTCTTCATAATCCAGTCGATTACCAGGAGGAAGAGAAAGGATGAGAGTAAGACATCAGTGTCTTTTTCTGTTGAAGGGTCTTGATTAAGCACACCAGTTCCACAAAATTTTAAAAACATACTGTTCAGTCAAATTTCTCATTCATGTTATTCTTCCTCAATATTATAATATTTGTATGTATTTTTCTTTCTTTTAGTCTGCATTCATTGAAGAGTTATGTAATGAAGCTTATAATCCAAATAATACATTTTGTATAAATACAGCATTAGATAAACAAGAAAACTTCATACATTTCGATAAAACAAATGATCAAAATGTTATTGAAATATATGAAGAACAGGATAATACAAACGAATCATAAACAGAGATGTGAATAATAATGTTTGTTCAACATCCAATTATGCCATGATGATGGTGATACTGATGAGCAAATCAACCGGTGTTGATAATACAGTTATGATACTCTGATTAAATTATCAAGAACGATGTTAAATCAATCATTTATGTAATAAAATTATTTCACTGATTATCATTGTTTTATCATCACCAAGGGGTAGTATACGGGATGATTAGTCTTGATAGTTTAGCTAAAACACAAAGTAACAGTCTGAGAAAGATTGATTTTATTTCACTTGTAAGGGTTTAATTCTTCCCGTTGTTTATGTTATGGACTGTGATTGATCAGTCCCTTTTGGTATATGTACTTTTTGAGCAGATTGTCTCGATTGAGGCAACAGTTACAGGCATTTTGAAGCAGAGGAAGATTGTGGCTAGTAGAGGAATTTAAAACGCGACTTTTATCTTATATGGAAATTGTCAGTTGGGTGTCTCTGGATCACACTGGGACTGGAACTAATAATGGTATCAACATTATATCCTTTGAGTAAGTTAGTAGCCACCTGGACTCAGTAAATTATTTAATGATGCTTTATGTATTTTCAGCGAAAGGTAATTGGCTCGAGTACAGGTGTTGTGGTGTATGCTACTTATACTGACAGATATAAGTAGTGTATAGCGGCAATTGGAAGTGGAATGCCGATCAGCAGAAGATTGAAATGAAGAAAGCAGGAAGAAAATCGGAGAGCAATCGAAATAGCAACAGAGTTAGGAGAACAGCGTATTATGTAAAGGACAACGCAAAGAAGCTGTAAAAGTGATGCATTTAATGTAAGATTTTCATATTTTACTAAGCCACTGTGTGAATTGACTTCACACTCATGATTTACCGCTCACTACAGTGTGAACGTCAGTACTGGTATACAAGCACATGCAACTGACGAGTCCCATATATGACGAAACGTGCGTCTTGAGTCTTGCTAGCCGCTACTAAAACTTTGCTTGACAAATCCGATCTGGACAACGCAATATATATATATATATATATATATATATATATATATATATATATATATATATATATATATATATATATATATATATATATATATATATATAACTATTTCTAATCTTTTGGATAATGGCTGTGACTACTCGTACGGATAGCACATTTCAAAAGTACTTGTCGCTTTCACTTGAATTTTCAGTGTCAGTCAATAGATTATTTATTAAGCTACCAAATTAGGTCTAATCGAAAGGTTTATACACACTTTTATGATTAATTCGTTCCATTCCCATAATTTCAGTCAACTACATCGTGTATTGTTTGTAAATATTAACTTACTATGAAAATATTAGAAAGATCGATCACTTTGTGGGTGTAACACAGATGACATAATCATATCTTCTACTTAAAAAAAAGAAGAACCTAAATAATTCCGATATGATATGTTGTTATTTCAAGGTTCTAAAGTAATTCACAATGACTGTTCATTTCTACATCAAACTTCATTGTCACTTAGTGTTTAAGAAAACTGTCTAACGATAAGTTTGCAGCACTGATAAAAATAACACTGATCTCTTCTCTAAATTCTATTTTACTATTTATGCACCATGCATAGATTATCCATGAAATTGGTATATAGTTATTATTATAATTTTAGAAGCGGAGATATATGTGGCGCCATCTGAATGTACCTGCATCCTGGAGTCGATGTTCACTCTGGGATCCGAACCCAATGTTGTTCGTTTCAAACGTCATCACGTTATTCACTTGATCACTGAGTCCAAACGAAGCTTAATTCATTTGTACTAGTCGTTTGAATTTTCTCATTGCTATTCAATTTTGCAATTGATCAATCTCTTTTTTTGCATATATCCATCATCTGCAGATTGCTTCGATATTGCCATTAATTCATAAGCATTATAAGGTGGTACATCTAGTTGACAAGTCCAAAATTATACAAAACCCACGTCATAGATTCCACTAATAGCCATCATACATCTCTGCCTATAATGCTTATGACTTAATGACAATATCGATGCAATCTTCGTATAATGCATGTATCGCCAAAAAGAAACTGATAAATTGTTATCCTGAATATCAATAAGAAAATTAAAACAACTAATACAAATGGTTTGCAATATTTGGTTTACGAATTTTACACTTCTGTGTTCAATACATTTTGTTTTGGATTAGGCCGAAATGCATGAAACTAATTAAACTACAAATTATTACGCTAAACATGATCAATTGGAATTACAGTGTTTTTGATGTGATAATTTGTGCTGTCTTCTTCTTCTTCTTCATCATCATCATCTTCTTATGATCGTTTGTCCCGTTTCCAAGATCTATTTTAACTTCATTAATGTTATGTACGTCAGATCATTGTTTCTAATCATATATATTACCATAATTTGTAACTGGATTATTTACAACTGATGACATATGGTTAAATACAAATATGATTTCATTTTCGCTTTTGAAAGTTTCCATCTAACGCAAGTCTATAGGTTGATAGAAACTATAGAATTGTGTTTCAAACGAACCAACTGTTTTTGATGGAGTTTTGTTCTTGTGGTCATGGAGTTCTCGTCGTTCTTCTGAAAGACATCATTAGCACAAACTTCAGGTAGACTTCTAACTCTACTACCAAACCATCCATCTCAGAGAACAAAACCCCATTAAAAATCAATCCACCTGAGCTACAAATCTTCGCCAACGTATCAGAACCAACTGTTGTATGTCCATCAGGTAACGATTACTACTAATGTAGACTCAATAATAGATTTTAGGATTACTTGACATTCTTTTCAGTGACACAGTGATGAACAACATCTCACTTTGAAGATACAATAAATAAATATAGATAATATTCACAAAGAAAATATCATTATAGAGTTGATGAGTAAATTGTACACTGTTTGAGAGTAAAAATATGGACCTTTGTGTTTCAACTCAATAGTCTCTAAATGTGACGCGTCTATTGAATAACTTGAGAGTCCTCGATTCGATCGGTATCACGATTGTAGTTAAAAACTGATGACAAGTTCCGTAATAAAACGAATCGCTTGTCAAATCCTGTTTAGATTTTATTAGTCGTTCAGTTGACATTAAACAGTGATCAAGATCCCCTGAATTTAGATTTTGTTACATTACTACAGATCATAAAGAAAAACCTAGCGAAAATTCAGTACAATACATAACAATGTATTTACACTAGATTTGCATAACTCTTTCAGTCGTGTTAAATATTGGCTTTCAAGTATACAAACATCATTCTTATGTGTTCAATTTAATCACTTTACCACCGATTATTCTCAATATTATTTTGATCCAATTTTTGAATTATGTATGATCTGTAAATGAAAGAAATTCAAATTATTATTTTATGTATTCATTTAATTTAAAACAACATAGATATAAGCGAACAATATTGTTTTCGATTAGAACCTCATCATGCTTTACTCTAATATACAGTAATATATATGAAATAACTAAGCCCTTATTATTCTTATCACAATTAGTACCTGAAGTTTATGCTGATGATGATGTCGTTCAGAAAAACGATGAAAGCTCGACAACCAAACTATCCACCTCAGAGAACAAAACTCCATCAGAAACAACTAATACACCTGTCATCACATTACCAATTTGTAATTACTCACTTATTATGTTTAGTTATGCAATCTATTCCACTGTTATTATTGACTATCAATTAGGGACGAGTGTTCTGCGTTGCAGTTCGTTCCGTTCTACTTTATAGCTGCGAAACGTGGCTATTAAGAGTAGAAGATAGGCGGAAGTTACTAGTATTTAATCACGGATATCTTAGAAATATTGCTCGCATCTGTTGGGATCATTAGGTAAGTAATAATGAGGTTAGAAACAAGGTATTACGGAATGATCGTAAATCACTTGATGAGATTGTGAATCTTCATCGACTAAGATGGTTGGGTCACGTGTCACGTATGCCTGAACACCGACTACCAAGGTGTGCAATGCTGAATAGTGTTGGGGATGGTTGGAAGAAAGTTAGAGGGCGCTCAAACCGAAACGTGGCATCAGTCCACAAATTCACTAACTCCTAGTTTTATCCATGTTGGTAGATGCAGACTATTTGGTTGGGATCCGCGTGATTATAGTAACCAATGGTTTGAGACTCTGAGTGACATGGTTCAGAATCGATCAAAATAGTGTCGGTATATACACTCTTTGTCTTCCTTTAAACTATAAGATTAAAATCACTTTATATCTTTCTTTCTACGAACTAATTCTTTCGTCCTATACTATGTCCTTATATACAATCTTTTCTCTATATATGATGATTGAATCGAAATACAATATTGTTCGTTTATATCTGTGTTGTTCTAAATTATAGTGTGAGAAAGTTTTCCAAAAAATTCATTTAATTCCATCAAACTTACATACACATTTTCACTGTTTTTTCCTGAATTTTTATACGAAAATTATGAAATAATTCTTTCCAATTTAATTGTTCAAATTTTTCTATTCTAATATGTAAATATATAAAAATAAAAAAAGAGATTACATAATACTAACGATTGATTTCACTGGTTGAAATCATGAGACAATTGAAGCTGGACCACCATGGAAAACCTGGAAGCACTGGACGGCCGTTTCGTCCTAGTATGGGACTGTTCAGCAGTGCCCATCCACGATCCCGCACCCCGCAAGATTCGAACCCAATGGTGTACGGTGGAGCAACTTCGTGGATTGGTTGAAGTTAGACATTAACACTGTTGGATGCCAGCCGGCTTGGTAGTCTAGTTGGTTAAGTGCCTGGCGCGAGACTGATAGGTCCTGAGTTCGAATCTCGCAGGGTGCGGGATCGTGGATGCGCAATGCTGAGCAGTCTCATAATGAACAAAACCGCCGTCCGGTGCTTCCAGGTTTTCCATGGTGGTCTAGCTTCAATTGACTCATGATTTCAACCAGTGAAATTTCTAAGAATCTTCACAAAACCCATTCTGATACTAATAATGATTGAAATGAAGACAAAA